AAGTGGTAGAGACGGACAGATTGAGCAGTGGTTAGAGGTGTTAGAGGCGGCACATGAAGGCCGCCTCCGCCGCCAACAACCTGTACGGGCCGTACGACTAGCTGTCCGTCGACTGCCGGCCCTTAACTACGAGAATAAGAGCGGAGAAGCGCTCAAGAGTTTTGTCGGCGATTTGATCGGTAAGACTCCGGGAGGGGAACCGCCGGCAAAGAGATGCCGTAGAGATAGTGAGGTCAGCCATAATCAGTACAAACGAGTGCTTAAACCACTCGACAACGAGACAGACATCGACACCGAAGTCAATGATAATGAAGACATAAATGGCGGCGGAAGTGATGAATGCAATGATAGGGATGTGACTGAAGAGATGCCGAGTACTAGTGATGCCATCAATAAGTGAGTATTATTTTGAACGCATTATGTTTTCGATGTTTATTTGATTTGTTATATTTATTTAGTAATTATTTATTGTATTTAAAGTAGCGATGGTTCGGCCACAACAGCTACAGCCCCACCGCCGCCGCACCGGCCGTCAGCCCCACCCAAAAGGCAGCTCCGATGCGATGTCTGCCACAGTCTGAGCGACAGTATGCGTGAGCTTAAGACTCACGCCAAGACCAGTCATCCCAACCGTCCCATCAGTTATACCGTTATTACCATTATTACCGTTATTCCCAACTAATTATCGCTTTAATTGCCATTTCATTAGTTTTTATTAATTAATCTTTCATTAGATTTACATTTATTTCATTTAATTCAAACTTAATCTCATTTATTCTCAATTTATTATAATGTGTATCACTTTGTGGTTTCCAATATATGCACACAATTATTGTGAACTTGATCTAAATAATTATTTACTATAATTTATGTGTATTTTAATGTGTTTTATCAATTAATTAATAAAAACAATCGAGTACGATTAATTTTAAAATAAAAACAATTTGTTAAAATTATTTATTTAACTTATTTTTAAAAACTTTGAAAACTCATGGTAACTTAAGTATTAAAGTTTTCAAACTATTCTAAATGAACCTTTAAATTACAGAACTATTGAATTCTATGCAACATATTTATGCTACCACCATCTATGCTACCACTATTTAATATGCATTATACTTTTCACCAGTATGTAAATTGTCAACATATTTAATAGGCTGAAGGCTATAAAAATATGACTCAAGTTCTTCAGATGTTAATCTCAGGTATGTTATCAGCAATATGTGCGCGCATGCGCACTGCACACATATTTCTATGCCTAGCATGTGTGTTTATTAGTGTTGTCCAAACGGTTAACCGGTCAAAGAATGGCTTGACCGTTAACCGATCGGTTAAAAAAATCTTTGACTTTAACCTTAACCGCGGTTAACCGGGGTTAACCGGTTAACCGTTTTTTGGTCGGCTGGCGTCATTATGCCCTAATATATTTGTAAAATACCCTAATTTTTAGGGTATTTTACAAAAATGTTAAAGTATTTTTTTACTTTTGGGGTTATTTTGCANAATCGGTTAACCGGTTAACCGTCGGTCAAAAAATGCTTTGACTTTTAACCGATCGGTCAAAAAAAATCCTTGACTTTAACCCGGTTAACCGGTTAAAATTTTTTAGCCGGTTAACTTTGGACAACACTAGTGTTTATCTCAAACTATGTGTTTTGATAATTATTTGCGGCAAATGCTATAAAATTTTTATCATAAAAAGCCGACTTTCAACATGTTTAATACAGTGACAATATATTGAAAAATAAACATGGCATTCATTAATTTTGTGTTTTAATTATTCACATAATTTTTATATTATAATTAATAATGTTTTGTGTATTTAATGTTTAAAAATGTGTGAATTATTGAAAAAGTTTGCCATTTGTGATAAAATACCGCTAAATATTAGGGGAAATATTGCAAAACTATTTGTTTTCAACGATTGTATTAATAAATGCAATGTTTTATTTGTCACAAACTTTGACATTGTCTATGGTTTTGGTCATAATAGCAATGGGTGTCTGGGTTTGGGACACAACAGCCCTGTACTGACACAACCGCCGCAAATAATACAAGAATTATGTCATAAAAACATCCAATACTTTGTCAATGGATATTATGTCATGTTAGCAGTGAATGACGTGAATAACGTATTCAGTTGGGGTAGTAATGGATGCGGCCAATTGGCCCAGGGTCATAATCAAACTGATTATTTCAAGCCAGAGCTAATACGATGTTTTACCGGTAAAAATATTGTTCAAATCAGTTGTGATTATTCACACTCATTGGCCCTCACGAGTAATGGCCGGGTGTATGCCTGGGGTAACAATTACTCGGGCCAGATTGGTGATGGTGATAAAAGTGGATTTATTTATATACCAATTGAGATACAAATCGCTGGTAATTGTAAAATACAATCCGTTTATTGTTATAACGACTCGTCGTTTGCCATCACATCCGACGGACATGTCTTCAGTTGGGGTCAGAATTGTAACCATAGATTGGGACACAATATACCCGAAGATAAGGTACTAAAACCCCGATTGATATCAACCATAAGTAGGGTTGTGACACTCGGTAAATTACCATTTTACCGTGGTAATTTACGGTAATTTACATGTAAATTACCATGTTTTCTGAATCTTACATGTAAATTACAACATTTAAACACGTGACTTGTCAAAATAGAAAGAAATTTTGATATTAGTCATGTATAAAATGCCAATAATTGAATAATTAAAAAAAACTTTTATTTTAAAAATCAAGTATTACTGGATTTATAATTAAAATTGCTATAAATGAGAGATAATAAAGTCTTTATTAATAATAAGCAACGAGCAAAATTGTTTTTATTTATTATTTTGTTTCAAAAATTAAAAAAATTCCGAAATTAATTGTAATTCTGATAGTAATTCTGTAAATTTTAATTATATTGCATGTGATATCTATCGTTATTAGGTATATAATTAATATTTCATAAAGAATTAAACATGAATTCTATTTATTTGTAGAAAATTACCAATTTTACCGAATATTACCATAAATTACCGAATATTACCTGTAATGTAAAATTGAAATGAATATTACCGGTAAAGTAACAACCCTAACCATAAGTGATGTGAAAGCAATCTGTTGTTCACAATTGGGTACATATTTTCACACATCAAATGGTCTATACTTTTGTGGCAAATATTATAATAATAGTAATGTTATGATTGAAACATTTCCCATACAATTAGCTAACTATTGTTTGCAAGAAATTCATTTCGGTATTAATACTAATAAAAGTGAATTCATATGCGTTTTGCATAACAAGAAAGTATATAAAATACTAAACGATCGCAAAGTATACGAAACAAAATATAACAATTTGATCGGCTTTTACGCCAAAGAATGTCAAATAACTAACAAAACAATTGATTTGCGAGATATCAATGAATTAACAATCATTACATCAAACGATATCCAAATGAAAAGCGATAATACAGTGATTGTTATGTCATTTGAAGAGTTCAGAGAAATACTACAACCGATGGCCAGTAATAGCCATACTATTACACCGATGGGAAACAATAATGGTAATAAACATTTATAAAACATAATGATACATGTAACATCTATGTCACTATATTAACTTTACTATATCTGATTACAGGCCAGAGCCAAGTGTCTCAAAGCAACTTTTACCATAATACTTTTGATGAACTCAATCGGATAGGGAGGGGTGGGTTCGGCGAAGTGTTTAGAGTAAGACATAAATTGGTTGGTAAAGTGTACGCAATTAAAAAAGTAGAGTTCCCTGGTATGTTTGCGTAATTATTTAAACATGTATAATTCAAATCAAGTAAACTAATATTATATTATTAATAATAGCCGACGAAAGTGATGAACGCCAACAGCGAGTGCTAAATGAGGCAAAAAGTTTAGCAAACCTGAGCTCACAATATGTGGTACAGTATCACAACTCATGGCTTGAAGACAATCTACTGTACATTCAGATGGAATATTGCCCGCAAAGTTTGCGCTCAGTATTGGCCGACAAAGCGCTGGCTTTTGGCAGACAATCGCCGACAGAATCGATGGATGCGTTCGAGTATTTCATTTCGTGTGAAATATTCAAAGAACTCTTAGAATGTGTTGAATATCTTCACGAATCGGTTCCACGAGTTATTCATCGCGATCTCAAACCCGAAAACATATTGATTGCCAACACATTAAGCGGTGATAACAACAATAGCCGGCGATTCATAAAACTGTGTGACTTTGGTTTGGCCACTGTTCACGACCCGAACCGACACACTGCCAGCCGATACGAGCACACGACGGTCGGCACTCGTGGTTATATAGCGCCTGAGGTATACAGCGGTAGATATAACCAAAAGGCGGACATATTTAGTCTCAGTGTAATCGGCGAAGAGTTGTTTGATATTTATTCGTAAGTGTTTTGATTAAATATTTTATTAAAGTATTTATTTTATTGTTATTGTATTTATAGCTCGCAATCGTATGAAGGATATGATTGTGTGCTAAAGGCATGCATACTATGTATGTCTCAAATACTGGAGAAAATGATGGCTCACAGGAGACAAAGACCCGAATGTCGGGAAGTGTTGGCCAAACATAATGAGTGGTCTATCGATAAGACTGTTGTCGCTAAACACAAGGAATTCAATTCTGTGTTAAATACACTTAAATCTAATGAGAATCCAGTTTTTTATAAAATCTTGTTTTGTAAAACACAATAACATTATTAAATATTATCTTCATTTATTATTTTATGAATAAATCATATTTGTGTTCACAGAATATTCTGTCTATAATTGCATCGTTTAATAATGTTTATTATGAGATCAATGAATACAACACTACATATTGGGGCAAATTTTTTCTGACCGTGTGGTTTTTATTTCGCAATTTTTTAATTTATTATCATTGATTTGTATTTAACTTTTATCTCATTTTGTCTTAAACTATAGGTTGTGAACATTGTTTGTAACAATCGCTATAAATTCCTATTTTCAATGTGTTATTCACGACACAAATAATCGCCATTTCAATTGTGAAAGTCCTAAACAACGAGTTAATACAACCGATGGCCAGGTAATAAATATTTGATAGGTCAGTGTCAAGAACAGTCTCTCTCTCTCTCTCTCTCTCTCTCAGTTCTCTCAAGTATTATGTATTTATTTAATGCAAAATAATGTTTAAATAAT